CCTCTGCTGTCTGCCACCTCACCCCCTTCCTCTTGCTTTGCATCAGCAGGCTCCATCCCCATTCTAGGCTGGGACACTAAGTACAGCCCCAGCTCCTGCAGCAGCTTTGTGGGCTCTGTGCCACTGCTATGGGGCCAGGCTGGGGCTGTGCTCAGTGCCCTAGGCTGTAGCATGGATGGAGTCTGCTGGTGCAAAACAAGGGTAAGAGGGGAAGGGAGGGGGGCAGGCAGGGGAGCAGAGGCTGTGTGGGGATGTAGATGGGGGGAAGAGGCTGCAGGGGGGAGATGGCGAGGTATGGAGGTGGTGATGGGGAGCAGGCAACAGACCCTGGGTAGGGGCTGGAGCCCAAGTTACAGCAGCTGTCTGCCCCCCCACCCTTGTACTCAAATCCAAGATGAGGAGCTTCCCCCCCTTGTTAAATGAGGGGGAGCTACGTCCATAAAGCTTACCTTGCGTCAATGAATCAATGCATTTGGTGTTGAGTCTGTGTGGGTCTGTATCTTGTAGGATCTATGTGGGAAATATTGAAAGGTATGTTATGTTTTGGAAAGATAGAAACAAGAGTAAAAGTAGTGGAAAACACTATATATTAAAAAAGTGGTTGATTGTAAGAAAGTAAAAATATTGAAGATGTAGAACTGAATCTGTTGGGTTAAATTTAACAGAGGGAATAATAAAAAGGAACTTAAAGGAATTGTTATGTACCCCATGTTTGGAATTGGAAATGGACAGAGATCTCTATCAGGTCCTGGAAAAATGTAATAATAATGGAAATTGTGTAAGTATAGTGCTGGATACAAAGGACCAACTCACAGGATCATAATAAATTCTAATTTAGTGTGCAGGATGTGAAATTAATAAAATCATAAATGCAAACTTTGAGTTATGGGGGGTACTGGTCACCTTAGCGCACATGCTCGCTCGCTCGCTCACTCACTCAAACCCATGTCATTTAAACCCATGTAGTATAGAGTATAGTAGCTGCTGTAGTGATTGAGAGCACTGGTATCAGTATATATACCTATCCGAGGTCCTGGAGTTTGCTGTCTATGGTCAGTTTCCTTCAAGGCGATGTCTGCCCCAGAAGGGGGTCACCTGCTTGTCCTTCTGTCTCAGTAAGTCAGGTGCTGGATGAGAGGGCACCACTGAGGGTCACGCTTCACTGCCTTTTATCCCTTTTTGGCAGACTTGTGTGATCCCCCAGAATGATCTTGGCTGCCCAATTCAGAGGTCACTGTCCCACTTGGGTCTTGTAGTGCCTGACAGCTATTAGTCACAGGGGTCTCTGCCTGCTGGTACCTGCAGTTTTGGGAGTCGGTTTGTGATTTTGATTAACAATGGTATTGTTAAGGGTTGCAAGAACAGTTAATAGGGTGGGTGCTCAGTTCTAGGAATCAGTTCTTTGGCTTGATTAGCCTAAAATAACTTGTAGAATAGAGTTTTGTAATGGTAAGTTCCTCTGGCTAGGCTATTGTCACTTAACAACCAGAGACTCTTGCTTTGTCTTCAATTATCTACTGATTCATAGATACTCACATTCACTCAGGGGGACCAGCCCAATACAGCAATACAATTCCAGCAATTACAATTCCAGTGCATTCTTACAATAATAGTTCTAGTAATACAAGGTATTACTTTACTTCCAAGAAAAATACATTTCTTAGAAGTTAAAAGGTATAAAATACTGAACGCCAGGGTAAAGATGAGACAGATGAAATATAAAAATGCACTGTGAGGTAGTGAGGATCACAGGCTACTGGGGACAGTGAGTTAGGTTAGCACCAGAAATATTTACAGTCTTTGAAGTGAATATTTTATTCTTTTGTTTTCTTTAGTGATGCTTAAGTCAGTCGATATGTAGGTGCAGTTTGTAGGTTTCTCCTACAGAAAGCCATTTCAGCTTTCTGGCTTGCTCTGAGCCTTGCCATACCCATGCAATGAGTGTGCTAAGTCTCTGCCAATACTTAGAAGGAAAAAGAAATGAACAAAGTGGGGGAGGTGGGGTTCAGGCAAGAAGGGATTTCTTGTTACAACAGGAGACTTCAATTTCCCTGCTATAGACTGGACAATAAACACTATCTATAATGGTAAGGTGCAGATATTTTTGGAAGAGTTAGCTTGTACATTTCTGTATCAAATGGTCAATGAACCTAATGAGAGGCAATGCCATCTTGGTTTGGCAAGTAACAGGGAATTTATTAGAATTGGTTGTGGGAAGTAATCTGGAATCAAGTGATCATAAATGAGTTAGTTTAGTTTAGATTACAAGCTAGACGAGAATAGTTCTACAAGGAATTTGGATTTCAGAAGGGGTAGTTTGAGAAACTAAGAAAATTAGTTAAGGAGTCTGAATGAATTAATTTGGGAGCTAAAGGACTTGAATGTAGAAGTGCCATGAAATAATTATTAATGCTTTCAGAGCTTGTTTCCCAAAAACTGTTGAGAGGGGCTACAGACCTACATGGATGAACAGGCACCTCTAACTAGCCATTAAGAATAATGTGAGGATCTACATAGAATGGAAAATGGGACTGATCAGCAAGGACGGATATGTTTCTGTAGTCAAATAATGCGGGAGCAAAGAGAGAATAGTAAAAGGCTTCGCTGGGTTACATTTTGTGAAGAATTTTAAATAGAAAAAGCTTCTTCAGTTCTATAAATTAGAAGAAACCCAGGAGGGAAGGAGTGGGGCCCAGGTAGAAGACCTTGAAGATAGTAAATCAGAGCTAGGTACTGAATGAATACTTTGCCATCATCTTTTTATGTATATATTTGTAATTAAAGAGAGTGGTTGAGTACCAAATGTCAATGGAATTTATCACATCTGAGCTGGAAGCAAAATGTAAATTGCTTTTTGACACAAAATTGGAGGGTCTGGATAATTTCCATCCCAGAATATTGAAAGAATTGGCATGTGAAATAGCAGCTCCTTTAGCACAGATCTTTAGTGCATCTGTCGATTTGTGGATAGTACCCTGTAAATAGAAAATAACAGATGTAATGCCTGCATTCAAAGAAGAGGGATAATTTGACAGGCCATTATGGGCCTGCTAGCTTGACTTCAGTAGTATGTAAGGTTATAGAACAAATACTGAAGGAAAGAATAATAAAAAATATGGAAGTAAATAGAAGAGCGCAATTTTTTTTCCAAGGAAGGTCATGTCTGACTAATTTAATATGCTTCTTTGAAAAGATAACTGCCTTCTTAGATACGAGCAATAAAGTAAACTTAATTTACCTAGGTAAGAACACAGCTTTTTGTGCCATGCCTTATAGTAAATTACTGGAGAGCATGGGGATCAATATAATCTTGAGGTGCATAAAGCATTGGCTTAAAGAGAGATCAGTAGATTGTATTAGAAACTGGGGTTACTTTGAAAGGTGAGATATCGGACTGGGAAGCAGTTTCCAGTTTTGTTCCTTGGGTATCTGTCTTGGGACATTTAACATTTTTAATCAGCCACCTTAGTACTGGAAGTAGATGTGACCTCACAACATTTGTAGGTGATACTGAACTGGGGGATATTGCTGAGATAGAAAATTTTGCTGGATTATTTTTCAGGAAGTTTTAGATATTCTTGTAGAATGGCACATTAGAAATCGTAGGAAGTTTAACAATAGGAAGTGCAATGTTGGGCATCTAGGAATCAGTGGAAAGGACTTTGAATAGAAGATGGGACTCCTAGACTGGAAGACAACTGAGGAAGAGAGAGACCTGGGTATATTGATTGACTGTAGGATGACTCTGACCTTGCCGTTAGTATATGACTTTGGAAAAGACTCATACAATTATAGGGTATACCAGTATGTTAGGAAATTCTTGGAGCCACCATCAGTGTGTGTGATATGTGGTTGCAGGGAGAGCACACACCAACTGCAGATGTTTCCTCAGCCTGACAAAATGTATTTATACCTGAAAGCTTGCAAAGAAGAATTTTTCCAATTATTTGAATTGGTCTAATAAAAGATAGCAGATTTACCCAAATAACTTTGTCTGCCTATATGTGGATTCAAGTGTTCATAATTCCATTGTTGTGGTAGAGAAATAGTTGTCTTGCTGGAAAGTACTTAGCGATCTCATGATTCAGGGCTTTGGCTTCCTCATAAACAGGGATCCTGGTTTTCTCTGACTTAAAATCCCCAATTTTCGGTTAAAAAAAACAAACAAACCCCTAAATCCACATTTTTCTGTGATTAAAATGAAACACCCCTATATATAAAATATACATATATATATAGATATATATATCACAGAAAAATGTGGATTTGGGGTTACTTTTTTTTAAACTGAAAATTAGGGATTTTTTTAAATCGGAGAAAATCAGGATCCCTGCTCATATATGCTTTATTGGCTTTGGGTTTTTTTTCTTCTTTTTTATGGCTTTTACTTCTGTTAGTACAACTAAAATTTAAGTTATTCATTTGGCCAGGTTTAGGCACCTAGAATCCATATACAGTAAGAGCTCTGTATTGGCAGGTGGTGGCAGCCACACGTGGGGTGGTGGTGGCAGCAGCCGCACATGGAGCAGGGGTTGTGGCGGTGGCTGCAGGCAGAGTGGCAGCAGTGCAGGGTGGTAGGTGGCAGTGGCGTGTGAGCTTTACGCCCCCCACGTCCAGCTGGCCGGAAATTCTGGTTAGTAGTGTGGGCTGGTTACTAAAATGCCGGTTAACACAGCTTTTACTGTATAAACAACAGGCAAACTTAGACCCATCCAAGTTGCTGATTTGGAATAATAGGTAAATGATTTATGTTACAGTGTTAGTCAGAAAAGTTGACACACTAGTCCATATGCAATTCCTATTTTGCCCCATAGGGGAAAACATCTTCCTTGTTGTTGAAACAATTTGGCTTTAATTTTCCCTGTCTACAAAAGTCAGTAACTGGTTGTAGTGTTTGATAGAAATACTGGCATGAGTGTGCTCATTGTGGATTTGGGTTTTTTTGCTTCAGATAAACTCCGAAGAAGCATGCCTAACCTAGCTCGGATGCCAAGTACTCCTACCATTAATAGCAATGCAAGCTCTCCAGTCACTGTGAGGAATAGTCAGAGCTTCGATTCCAATCTACATGGAGCTGGTAATGGGATTTCAAGAATGCAATCTTGTAGTAAGTATGCGTCTTTTACTCTGTTGTTGTGCTGAAAGCCCCTACAGTATTGTGAAATATTTACACACAATTGTGAATCTTGTTACTTACTTGAGGAAAAATTGTTAGAAGGCCTTAACCACTTTTGTTGCTGCCCATTTAACCATCTAAGAAGTTTCCAAGTTCTTGCTTTTGAAAAAAAATTATGTCCAATTATGTTTCTTAGTAATGAAAACTACATCATGCTTTGTTTCGTCCCCGTACATCCAACATGGAAGTTAAAAAAAAAAAAAAAAATAAAAAAAATCCATTACTCATGTTAGATTTTTTTCCTGAAGGATGCATCAGTAAAGTAACTACATGACATAATGTACTATACTATTTTGGTTGTACCTTTTCAGCTTCGACACTACAACTGAAAATGTAACATGGACTATAATGATCATTTATGCAGCACTACTGACATAGAACATTGGATAAATGTTGTCTTAAAGCATACACTCACTGTCAGTCTCTCCCTTGGAATCTGTACCACTTTGTCCCAAGGGAAGAAAAGAGCATCATTAAGGATGAATTAATTAGCTACTGAGCAAGAGAACCAGAATAGCTCTCTAGCTTGGTGACCAGGGCGGGGCATTCATCTGGAAGGCAGGGAGCCTGGGTCCCAGTCAAGTCCCTGTTTCAGTGAACATTTATTTATGGTGACTGAAGGGTAGATTTATCATTTTCTTTTTTGAAGGTTTCAAATAATTTCAGCTGCTGTGAACTACATGGCTCAAGTACTTGAGGCATTTTGGTACTTAGCTTCTGTCTTGTAGACAGTAAAACATAGGTGATGTGCACTAGAGGGCAGAGTCATGTAATAAATCTCTATATAAAGCTTTTGGATACTGCAGCACTGATATGAAATGACAAGCATACCTGGATTGTGTTGTTAAATTCAAAAAACTTTTGAAATTTTGAGTTCTTAAATATGTACAAATATGTATTTGAGTTCTTAAATATGTACTTCAGCCGGACTTTCACACATTTTGTATATCTGTAAATCTAATTTTTAAATTCATTTACAGTTGGCTTGATTGACGTAAAAGGTCAAATTAGTGCATTGATCACTGTTTCAGGTTGCATAGAAATATAGTATTTGATGATATATGATTGACATTATAACATAATATGCTGTTTTAATTCTTTTCTCTTCCCCTCTTTGCAGTTCCATCTCCAGGACAACTGCAGCATAGAGTTCATAGTGTGGGACATTTTCCAGTGTCTGTCAGACAGCCTCTGAAAGCTACAGCGTATGTAAGCCCAACTGTGCAAGGCAGCAGTAATATTCCTGTGTCCAATAGCCTGCAGTTGCATTCTAACACTGGAATCCCAATGCCAAACAAGACTGCCAATGCAGGGATTGTTGGACGCAGTGCTCTTCCAAGACCATCATTGGCCATAAGTGGCAGTAGCATACCCAGGAGTAAAATTGCACAGCCCGTTCGAAGGTAAGAGATGCTTTGCATTGAGGAGTTAAGTGCTCCTCTGTTACATTTGGAAAATCTTGGCTTCGATAATGTTTTTTTTTTTAGAAAAATGTGAACTCAGGCTTTTGAACAGAAACACTTGCAGAAAATGCTGATTCTGAGCCCAGTCCTTTCCTCCATTCAATGCATGTAAATTTCTGCTTCTCTTCAGACAATGAAAAAGGGCCTATTCATAAACTTATGGAATAGTAGGATTGAAAGGGACCTCATGAGAGCATTTAGTCCAACCCCTGCTTAAGGCAGAATTGTCCCAGACTAAACTACCCAGTGCAGTGTCAGTCTAATCTGCTCTTACAAACACACAACAAAGGCAATTCTGGAACCTCTGTGATTAGCCTGTTCCAATACTAAAGTACCCTGATAGTGATAGAGTTCTTCCTAATATCCAGCCTAAATTTCTGTTGTTGCAATTTAAGACCGTTGTTCCTTGTCCTGTCCACTGCTGCAGTAGAGAATAGTCTGTCTCAGGAGTGTGCAACATACGGCCCGTGGACCAGATCTAGTCTGCCAAGGAATTCTGTGTGGCTCACAATAGGGCCCTCAGCCCTGCCCGGGCCAGGTACAGGGGGCAGCTTAGGCCATGGCATGTGTGGCCAGTCCCACCATCCCCGGGCATGAGGTAGGTGCAGTGCAGTGGTCATGCTGGGTCAGCACCTCTACTGCTCCCCTACCCTGCCCCTCCTCCCCAGGCCACAACAGTGCACCAAAACTCCTTAAGTGGCCATCCAGCCCAAATAATTGCCCACCCCCAGTCTATCTCCATCGTCTGGATAAACCACCCTTCAGGCAATTTGAAGATTGCTGTCAAATCTACCCTTGGTCTTCTCTTCTCCAAATTAAATAATCCTGGTTCTTTCAGCCTGTCCTTGTGAGTCATGTTTCCCAGTCTTCTACTCATTTTTTGTTACTCTCCCCTGGACCCTATCTAGTTTGTCTACATTTTTCTTGAAGTGAGAGGTACTTTTGTGGACACAATACTCTTAAGTGAGACCTTACCAATGCCAAGTAGAGCAGGAGAATCACTTCCCTTAACTTGCAGGTAATGTTCCTATTAATACAGCCCAGTCTGCTATGGACCTTTTGTGCAACAAGAGGACACAGTTGGTGCTTATTCAGCTTATGGACCACTGTGACTCCTAGGTCCTTTTGTGCAGTACTTCATCCTAGCCATTCCATCTCCAGTCTGTATTTGTGTATCTGATGCTCCATCCCAAATGCAAGACTGCACTTTTCCTGTTGAATTTCATTCTGTTAATTTCAGATAAACCCTAGTAAGCTAACAAGTTTCATATTTGAATTTACGTCACATAAAGATAACCATGTAGCAAGAATAAATGTGTATAGAAGGGAATGAATCTAAAACAGTCTGTAATAAAACAAACAAGCTTGTTTTACTTTCCTGCCTACTTGAAGACATAACCTTAACGTTCTCAAGTACGTCCAAAATCTTGTTAAATAAATTACTTTTGTAGTTCATCCAGAAAGTCAGCGTCATGAGATAAATGTGAATCAAAAGTGTGAGCAGAAAATGCTGTTAATTGCTTTTAATAGCAAGTAGCTTGCAGCTGAAGCATCTCAGCCTGCAGTAATGACAGGCAGTAATGACAGGCTGTCACATAGGCAGTTCCCAGGCCATGTGGAGTGTTACAGGTTATGAACCACAGAGCAGAAGACCTTGGCTGATATCCTGTCCCCTTCAGATGTACTGTAATATCAGGTGCTGCCCTAGAGCCAGACTGATGATTGCTAAAGATAGAAGGATTCCAAGTAGTGTTTGAATGACAAGTTTATGAGACTCAAACACACAGACAGATTGGAGTTCAGCCTGGAGCTTTTCAAGTTCTCTGATTTTTTTATTTTTTTATTTTTTTTTTTATTTTAATGTAGATAATAAAAGCTGCTTTCTTTTCTTCAGGGATTATCTTGGACAAAATCCAGTCACTAAAGGCAGATATTCAAAGCTTGGTGATTGTTACTGTGATAACTTTTAAGGAACAGGATTTCAGACCACCAGATTCTTGAGCTGTCTTTTCACCAAGGGACTGAAAAGTTCCTTTAACTCCAGCTAGCTTAAACATAGGAACTGACCAATTTTTATTATGCCAATATGGCATTTCATTTGCCAAGCCTGGCAAATGTTTGCAATGCAAATGTTCCAAATAAAATTTATATTCAAAGCACGCTGTGTCTTTGCAGCTGTTAGAGTAGAAGGCATTTTGTTATCTCAGGTGTCTTCATCAGCATCTGTTAGGCCGGGCTGTTAAATACCAAAGTATCGGCACCTCAGCTAGCTAAGTATCTCACCTAAGCTCTTTATCTATCCAGGAATTTTGGCCTTTTCAGCACAGGCCCCTGGCCTGTCTACACAGTATTCTTGAGGCTGTGTTTCATTTTGTGAAACATAATGGAAATATATGAAAACTACATTTGTTAAAATGTATTGTATGTCAGTCCCCTGGGGGAAGATGTGATGGTCTCTCCCTCCCCCTTCTGTGGTCTCCTTACTCTTTGGTATCCTTGGCTATTGGCTAAACTTCTCTTTCTGTATCAGCCCCTCAGGGAGAGAAGAAGCTGGTTAGCCTGCTTTGCTCCTCACAGCGAGTAAGCTTTTTGTTCAGAATCATTTTAGAGGAAAGGCCAGTTAGTTCTTCCTTGCCTATAAAAACTGTAAATGCACTTAATTGAGTTGCTGGCAGGCTGGTAGTTCCTGCAGTGATTTTTTTTTTTCCCCTTTGAGAGAACTCTGATTAAATGATTAGTTTCATTAAGCAAAGTGCCATTTTAAGAGTTCTGCATCCTTTCTTCATGACATCGATAGGTTCACTGAGGTGGTGTTGCAAAACTTTACACTTTAGTAGTTCCACATTGAGTTCCATCAATGAGAGGAGTTATTTATGTCTCTCCTATCTAAGCACCAACCTCTACTTAAAGACCAACTCACATAATTTATACTCCAAATTGTGATGGGACCTCTTGAGCTGCCAGGAAGGGTTGTAGATGACACTGTGCATAAGGGGACATTCCTGTTTCTGTCCTAATGATCCACCACAGGGGCTGGAAGGGGCTGACAGTTATTGTGTGAGGGGAGCCATGAAGAGGGTGGAGGTTGAACAGTGCAGTCCTGCACTTGAGATGGAATAATTGCATGCACCAATACAGACCAGGGAATGACTGGCTAGGGCTGCAGTATTGCAGAGAAGGACCTGGGAGGTGGTGGCCATAAGCTAAATATGATCACAGATCAATCTTCATTTAGTTTATGGTGACCATAAACTAAATATGATCACTTTTTTGCAACAAAAGTACAGTGTACTTTTGTTGCAAAAAAGGCCAACTACTCTAGTGGTAGAGAGCAGAAGCAGTGGCAGCAACAGTAGTTACAGCTAGGGAGGGGCAGTGAAGTAAGAGAATGAGGGCTTGATGGGATGGTTTGATTAAATGTAGTAGCATGGAGTTGGAGTAGGTTGTGGCTTTGGCCTGTTCGTACAGATGCGCGGGGAGCCTGCTCCAACGCGCTGGAAGTGTATCGGAGCAGATTCGATTACAGGCAGTCCTTGACTTATGACTTCTTGATTTATGACAAACTACACTTACAGCCTTTATAAATTGACATCATGCTTCGAGGTTCTGATGCGTATTTCAACTTTACAATGCTCGATAGAGCTGCATCCAACTGGTAAGTGGAAGGGGAGGGGGAAGGAAGGGGTGTGGGGTAGGCAGATCAACACCCCTGCAGCAAAGGAGGGATTGGGGCTGAGGCAAGCGCTGCCCAACTGGGGGGGCAGGGCGGGGCAGTGTGCAGGACAAAGGTGCAGCTCATCTGGGGGTGTGGGGAGGGGGTGTGTGGCTCCTGCCGCTGTGTGCTGCTGGTCCAGGAACTGTTCATCCGGCAGCTCCTGTCACTGCTCCCACCCCTCGTCTGGGAGGGCATGGGGGGTGCCCCCAGATCTGCATGGGGTAGGCAGGGCTGGGGCTGGGGATGTGCTGTGCTGTGCTGTGCTGTGCTCTGAGCAGGTGTGGCGCTGGGAGCGGGGGCTATGCCCTGCCACTGCTTGCTCAGTTGGGGCGGGGCAGGGGGGCACAGGACAGAGGCGCTGTGCTGCCTCTGGATGAGTGGCATGTAGCGGCCCCCCAACACCTCTTCTTTCCCCCCTCCCCTTCCACCACAACAGACTTATCAGCTGGATGCAGCTGTATCAAGCGTCATAAAGGAACCGATCGCCCATTTATAACATTGTTCCTATGGGAAAATTGGTTCTGAGTTATGACATTTCAACTTAAGATGCGGTTTTCAGGAACCAATTCTGTCGTAAGTCTGAGGACTGCCTGTAATTAAGTCTTCTGGAGCACAGTAATTGATGCGCTCTGGCAGCCTTCTGCATCACATGTATCAGCATCGCTGTGCTGAAAAAATGGTGGTGGGGCACTGAAGTAAAACACGTTTGATGAGCTTTAGTGCAAAGTGCCCTGCAATCATTTATTCAGCATGGGGAAGCTGATGCACATGACGTGTGGGCGCTTTTAATTAGCACAGCTCACTAATTAAAGTGCCCAGTGCCATGTCTCAAAGCACATGTGAAAATGCCCTTAATGGTTCAGTTCCCTTGGCAGATTTTATAGCACCACATTCAATACCTTTCATCTCTAATGGACTCTGTTTCCCAACCCCATTTCCTCCTTTTTATTTTCAGCAAACTTATGTTGATGTAAAATGTGTGTGGTCTTTTTGAAATTGCTAAAGTGGCAGAAGGATCCACATTGAGTACTGCACCTAACTAGTTATGCCAGGCAGGTTTTCTTTTAATCCTGTTTGGAACAGCTGTCCTCAGTAGTACATTGAGGTATGGGGGGAGGGGAAGATACTTAATTGCTGATGAGTTAATAATGAATGCCTGTTGTTAATCTGACTTCTACGTTGTGGTACTAATGGGTTTTTTTTCTTCAGTTTTTGTAACAGGCCAGTTTCAGTAATGCTTTCTATCCCCTGAATAATATTTTATTCTGCCCTTGGCAGAAAAAAAAATCCAGGCACTTTTTTTTTTTTATAATGTACTGATTTTTTTCAAGTGCATGCTGGGCCTAACAGTTTGGGGGAATCTCTCTTTTTTAATTGGAATTGGATTTCTGCTGTCTGTTTGTATTTGGGCATATCTGCTGTCCTCAGTGACAAAAATACTTTGGTTTAGCCATGCAGAGCCAACTAGCTATGTGAGAGGGAGGGCTCTTCTGTTTGATCTACTGCATCATCAGCAGAATTGTTTGCTTCAAGTTCTCAACTTATCCCACCTGTGCAAACTCATTGCAAGTGGTGGAATTGCCTGGGTCTCCCAGAGGGCTTAATTTGGCCTGCAGAAACTTCGTTGCTGGTGCTGTGTGAGGAGCAAAGAACCCAGGGCTGGGAAGGGGGGGAGGTGGAGAGAAGAGGAAAAAATAAAAAAAGCAAGCAGTTTTCTTTTAAAGGATGGAGTGAGACTGATTGGAAAACAGTGGTGTGAAAAGAAAGTTTGAAGGGAATGGGGAGGAAAAGAAGGTTTAACAGTGGGGGTTCAATTGTACATTGTGTGTTGTGTCCCATAACTATTGACTGTAACGGGTATCTATCCTAAACAAGGAATACAAAGTTTAGGGGGGACATCTTGGCCTTATGGAAATCAATGTGAAAACATCCATTGACTAAGTAAAATTGGGATACTTATCCCAGATTTTTAGCCAGCCATGTGGTTTAATCAGGAATAATCCTGCCTTGAGCAAGGGGCTGGACTAAATGACCTCACGAGGTTCCTTCTAGTTCTACTGTCCTACAATCCTATGTAATTAGCAGGGATCCTGGTTTTTCTGATTTAAAAACAAAACAAACAAACAAACAAAAAAAAACCAACCCCCCCCAATTTTTGTTTTAAAAAAGTATCCCAAAATCCACATTTTTCTGCAATTAACATGAAATACCAGTATATGTATATGTGTTAGTGGGGTTTCATTTTAATCATGGAAGAATGTGGATTTCAGGTTACTTTTTTCAAACCGAAAATTGGGGATACTTTTTTTAATCAGAGAAAACCAGGATCCCTGCTAATTAGTCTGGAGCTTCAAATATACCCTGGTAGACTGTGTAGTTAAGAATAGCCCTAGGGCCAAATTATACACAAGTAATGGATAACATGTCTTATTATTCTCTCTCCTAAATTGTGGCCTTTTTTTTTAACAGTTTTCTTCAGCCTCCAAAGCCACTTTCTTCACTTAGTACTCTACGAGATGGGAGTTGGAGAGATGGCTGCTACTGATGTTGAATACTCCTGAACAACAGAAAATAAATGATGCAGATTTGATTACCCAGCTGGCTGGGTAACTCTGTTAAAAGAGGGGAGGGTCACACAGTATTATTTCCCCTGAGGTTTTAATATCTAAGAATATCCATAATGCAGTGTCATTTAAAAAATGAACACATTAAATACTAAATATTGCACTTAGTCATTTGCCTGGAAAACTGCAGTGTTATCAAACTAACAGTTGCAGTATTTATCATTTAGAACTTTAGTATTTTTATGTATGTGCAAAATACCAGAAATACTTCCTTTGAGTGAACTAAGAACCACGATTTCAAACAGCTTTGCCATATTGAAATGTTGAGACAGTTTGTTCAAGTGTACTTCTATAAAGGCATTATGCTTTTTTTTCCAGATTTGGGGACCTATATTTATTTACTTGATTTCCCGGCCCACCCAAGAACTTTATTTTTTGCACTTAATTTCTTTTACGCTTGCTTGAACCACAGAGAGAGGATTTAATATTTCTGTGTGCCATAAATAATATTTTTGTGGTAATGTACTATTTTTTAGCACTAGGAACATATCCTACAAAAATACATTCATGGGCAATATGAAAGCAGTATTTTATGTTGTGGAAGCACAAACAAGTAGCATTCACTGGAAACTGCCATACGGCTGGCAGTCATAATGATTTCGTCAGTGTCTTTCATTGTTTGTTCAAATGTTAATTTATTATCATAGTGTTTTGTATTTATGATGGCAGCGTAAATCACATTGCACTTAAGATATAATAATGATCTCTAAACTACAGTTGACTTTCAGTACTTTATTACAAAGAAAAAAATTGTAACATTTTATTAACAGTTGCTTATGGAAAATGAATGAGTTTTAATGTGAATAAATCTTTTTGATAGACCTTTTACAAAATCCAGTTGCACTAATCGATGCTTTCTTATAATGGCATATGATTTAATATTTGATTACAACTGTGTATACTGCTGTTTTGGAATGTTTCAGAAATAAAGAATCTATTTCGGCAATATCATGCTGTGTTTGAGTGGGCAATGTAAGTGTTGTCTATGTATATAATTACTTTAACTACTGATCATTTTACTGCGTAGCCTTTTGAACACCAACTTTTTGCAAGTACATGCAATATAGAGGTGCACTGATAACACTGGTCCCATATCAGATCGGTACCGATATGAGGAAAATTGAAACCATCGACAATTTTTTTTTGTCTGATGTGGCCAATAAATGCTGCGTGCCTGTGTGCAGCCGCGGTGCAGCACACAGACAGCCAGGAGCACAGCATGGCTAGTAGGCTGGTCTGTTGTGGGGGAAAGGGTGCAGGGGGAGAAGGGGCGTGGGGGGGGTCAGGGGGGGGTCCCCTCAGTGAGGGAGGAAGTGGGGCTGTGGCAGGGACAGCTGCTGAGCAGCCTGGGTGGGGCAAGACACAGGACAGAGCCATGACTCATCTTGGGGGTCTGGGGGGGCATCTCCTGCTACTGCATACCTCCTGGGAGGGCATGGGGGGGCCGTAGCATGTGCCCCCAGATCTGCGTGCAGGGTGATGGCAGGCTGCTACTGCAGGCTGGGACTAGGGCTGCACTGGGCTCTTCCCAGCTGGGAGCTGGCGTGGGGTGCCCTTGGGATGGGCGGCAGTGGCGCTGGGAGGGAGGGCTGGGGGGGGGCTGTAGCAGATTTTGGGGTGGCTGCAGTTTCCCACCCCCCATAGCCCCTAAGAAGCAAATATGAAATGACAGTATACATTTTAATTTTATGTAGTCAAATTTTGCTTAGAAGACAGATTGGTGAAGATAAAATGTTCTTAAAGCAGAGCAACCAAGTCTAGCTATTATAGTTCCCATAAAAGGAGTCATAGTCCTATATTTTGTGTGATTCTTTACTTTTGTAGCTGTCTCAAGAATTGTGCTCCTGGATCTTTAGTTTTCTTTAGAAAAGGGATACAGTGGTAGAATTAATGGGTAGAAAAAGATAGTTTTGAGAGAAACTTTCCAAATGAGAAGTGATTTCTAAATTGGTGAAAATGATATCTGCACATCCCATGACCAAATTGATCATGGGTATGAAATTCAGTTTTAACTTTTCAGTCTTCCAAGTTAGGTAATTCTAAAGGTATCTTGCTCAAATAATAACCTATATTAAAAGTAATCAAGAAAGGAAAATGAAACGGAAACTTGAGATTTCTAGGTAGGTGTTTCAGAAAGGTGAGTACATGGAAACCATTTTGTAAGGCAAAAACAAGTTTACTTTAAAATAGTGGGTGTGGAATGCAATAAATATTGCAGTTTAAAAAATGGAGATATGCATTTGAAATAATAACCATGCAGATGGCAATACTGCTTCTGTCCACATGAGGGTAGTCTGTACTCAGAAAATATATTTATTGGCAAAACCTTGTCTGTTCTCAAGGTTCTTGGTTTAAACGTTGTACTTTATGCTTCTGGTTTTCTTTTTTTTTCACTGCCTTTACATACAGTGATAACAGGTTACAACCAAATGTTAAATTGATCATGATTTAGATTCAAGATTGTACAATGCAGTATGTGTTAAAGACCTGGAGAAACAAGCATCACCAGGATAATGAAATATTACATCTTAAATAAAATAAAATAGGGAATATGTTCTTCAACTCTAACTGCTCAAAGATTATTAGAGTCCTTGAATTAACCAGTGTGTCCTTTGCTCACACAGGGGGCCTCCAACTTTACAACTCTCACGTTAGTTGTATTGTGTCCAGCTGACTTCAGCAGCTGGAATACTTGGGTCTGTTCTAATCTATATTCCTTTTCAATTGATAGAAACTGCTCTATATTGCTGCTCCTCATATAGCTGGGTGATCTGGCAGTCTCCTGTGAGACTAGGATTTGATTGACCAGCTTCTGAAGAGTGTCCAAGTTTGACACATGCTTCACCCCACTTCCTCACTGCAGGCTAAATGCATGAGATCTGCAACACAAAACCAACTCTGTCACAGTTAATTTTGTTTGAGCCAGAATCGCCTCCAGGGCAATGTAGAGTGCTAACAGCTAGGCCATACAGTTGCTGCTAGTTTAAAAATCATCAGTGTTTCACAAATTACTTCAGTTATTGCTTATTGTAAGTACAGGGAGCTCTCACTGGTCTCTGTCCTTGCCTCTGCACTCTTTTTGTGGGTAATCTCATTGACAAATATAAATTTAATTATCCTCTCTATGCTGATAACCAGGGATCCTAGTTTTCTCTGATTTAGAAAATAAATCCCCAATTGTTGCATTAAAAAAGGTAACCCAAAATCCACAATTTCTGTGATTTAAAATGAAACACCACTGTATATAGGTATATATCCCCATTTCATTTTAATCACAGAAAAATGTGGATTTTGGGTTACTTTTTTAATCCTACAGTTGGGGTTTTATTTTTTTATCAGAGAAAACCAGGATCCCTAGTGAACTCTCAGATCAATCTCTTGACTCAAATTTATCTCTCTTTGTCCAACTAAAATTGAGACCTGTCTCACATCTCCATGTGGATATGTAGCCATCAGCTTGAGTTTAACCCGACTAAAACACAGCTCTTAATCTCCAAAAGTCTTCCCTGCTACCTGTTTTCACTATTGCTGGAGACAACCTCCCCACCCTACCTGTTACTCAGACCCAAAACTTGAGTCCAAGTCAAAGTCGATCCCTGTCCTGCAGACTCTTTCTGAGTAACACATCTAAAGTGCAGCCTTTCCTCTCCATTAAAGGAGGTAAAACTCCTGTCCTGGCTCTCAACCTCTTCCCTATCAATTACTACACATCCTTTTCTGTAGCTTTGCTTAACGCAGTCTGGCTCTACTCATATCCATTCTTAATGCTGAAAAGATGCTACTTTTTATAGCCTGCCCCACCCAGTCTTCCTCATTCAGTATTGAAAAGTTGATTCCTGTCATTGACCCATCGTACTAGCCTCTAGGGCAGGGGCAGGCAATTATTTCAGCTGTATGTCCGTTTAACGAATTTTGGCAAGCTGTTTAGGGCCGCAAGGTTAGTTGCACCCCTTGATAGGTGCCCCATCCCCTGGTCACCATCTTGGGATTGGAAGTCCCACTCTCTAACCCCTGACCTTTGCCACTGGAAGTTCCTCTCCTTTCCCCAGAAGTACTCCATTTGGGAAGGGGTGTTGCCATGTTGGAACTGGAAAAAAAACAAATTATATACTAAAAATCAAAACATCCACAATAACTTATTTTAATCTTTTTTTTTTTAATATTTTTGTCCTGATATGTGTGCGTTTGCATCACGCATATAGAGGTAAGTGCATAAAAGCACAAAATACAGTCTTACTCTTGTAGAGTGTTTGTGGGTGTTGGTATGGGGTTCGTGGTGGGGTGTGCACACACAGCACTGAATGGGGGCCCCCCCAGAGGATTGCGGGTTTGTGGAGGGTGTTGGTGGGTGTGGTGTTTGCCGGGTGTGTGATTGTGTGTGGAGGAGGATGTGGTTGTGGGGTTTGTGGGAATGCTGGGGTGTGTATGAGAGCCCCCCCGCGCACACTTCTCAGAGTTGGTCAGCACCTGCCCCGCTCCTGCAGCAGCCTGGAGCCCAAGTGCCCTGGGGCACATTCCTGCCACCACCACCAGCGTGCAGCCCCAGCTCACCCTGCACCCACTCTAGACTGGCTCTGGTAGAAGTGGACCAGCTGGAACCTGTGCCACAGTCCTGGCCCCAGCCCCCAAGCCAGCTCCACACCAACCACCCATGGCATGTTTTGCTGGCCTCTGGGCACGCAGCAGGACTGGGGCAGCTCTGCAGCTGGGCGGCTTTTCTAGGCAGACCAGGCAGGGGCAGCTTCTTCCATCTGCCACCGCCACTTGTCCCAGCCTGGTACCAGTGGGGACCCAGGCCACAGGCCCAACCTGGCCTGCCCAACGCCTGCTCCAGACGCGCCTGCTCAAGCTAAACAATGGCAGCAGGGGCAGCAGCTGGCCAGGAACTTGCTCAGAGTGGGTAAAAACCTCCCGACTGCTGCTGCTCAGTGCTTCCTGCTCTGCACTGCCAGCACTGCCCTGCAGGGTAGCCCAGAGTCAGCAGTGCTGCAGGGCAGCTTAGGTGCGGGCTCTGGGCAGCTGTAACAGGAAGCTACGGTGTGGGGAGCGGGGAAGGGGGAAGCAGGGCTGGGACAGTGCAGCACTGGCCTCTCCACAGCTGTTCACCCAGAGGCATGCATGTGTGCACTGTCCCAGGCCCTCCCCTGCCATGCTCCCTGAGGCACATGTTGCAGTCACCACCTCAGCACCAGCTCTGTGCTGGCAGTGACGACATGCATGCTTCAGAGCAGATGATGGAGGAGGGACCTGGGGTTGTGCTGCCTCAGGGCCCTCTACCACCATCCACCCAAGGGGCACACGCAGCAGCCGCCAGCACAAAGCCCAGCTGGGGCTTTGGACCCCACAGGGGAGGCGCTTGCGGGGGCTATGGCCACCCCCAAAATTCACCTTGGCCCCTTCCCCCCACCTTGGTAGCCACTCCTCCAGCATCACCCAGGCCACCACTGCCTGCCCCACTCTGAGCCTAATCCTGGCACAACCCCCCCCACCCAGGCTCAGCTGCACAGGGTGGGCAGGCAGCAGCTGCTCGGGGAGGGGTGGCTATGGGGGGGCCTAAGGTGAATTTTGGAGAGGCCATAGCCCCCCCTCCCCCCCAGTGCTGCCCCTGCAGCTGGCTGATGGGTGGGCTTTAGGCCAGGCCCTTGGCAAGCTGTGCTGCACCCCATGAGCAGCTCTCCAGGGAAGCACAGGGGCTGCGGCAGTCCCGGGGCATCATCGGGTCAGACTCTTCTGCATCCCAGCAGCCCAGTCATGTGCATGTGTGTGTCTGATTCTGTGTGCGTGTCTGGATCTGTGTGTATATCTGGTTCTGTGTGTGCATGCATCTGGTTCTGGGTGGGTGTGTGTCTGTTTTGCATGCGTGTTTGCATGTGTGTGTCTGGTTCTCTGTGTTTGTGCGCGTGTGGTTCTGTGTGTGCATGTGCTCATGTTTCTGGTCCTCTGTGTGC